TTACACAAGTTAGAGGAATTAACATCCTATCCCCCAAATTGTACATGCCACCCTCCAATTTTTTATTCCATAATTACCCTTGTTGAGTTACAAACAAATTTCCGGACGAAATTTCTGGTAGAGTTATTGAAATTTCCGGTACAAACAAAAATTCCAGTACACCCTAACAAAATTTCCGCTGTATGTAAATTTTGGGTAATGTATTTGAAATTTTCGGTATTCCGAAAATTTCAAATTTACCAAGCAGTACCAAAATTTGAGTTATACTGAAATTTCCGGTATTTCATTTATTCAATTTTTTTAAACGATCGAGATTTTACTGACATCTTTGGAGGGTCCAGATTGCACAGACAAATTTGTGTAGTCTATAATGCATCACCATTTGTATAAATAGGGGCATATGCTACAAAGAAAACATCTAAAATAATGCCTCTTCCTCAATTTTGGATTAAGGCATAAGTATATTTCAACAAAAATAACCCTTCTGTTGAATTTAAGTTTCGAGATGGCACCATATCCTTCGACAACTTGAAAGACAAGTTGAATTAACTGTTGCTTGATTCCGACAACAGAAGGGTGACAAAGATCGAGTTTCAGGAAGATTAGATTGATACAAATGGAAGGTGAAATACAACCTGATCGAGTTGAAGAATGATTAAGATGTGAAGTCTATGTGGAAATCATTTCATCGTAGGATAACTAAAGGTATGATCGAGTTGGATGCGGATATCACAAGATTCATTGATGACATAATTAAAATATTGTACGAGTCGTGGTGTCTGTATCAGTGAGGGACACCTTGATAACACGCTCAACAACAACCTCCTCAACTTGCTCTACAATATCCTCAATTGCCGGCTCCACAACCTGTTGGACTGCCGGCTCCACAACAGGCATAACCTCCTCAATATGGTGTTGAACAGTCAGCTCAATCTCATGCACATCCAAAGAAGCAAGAGTATGTACCTCCTCGGTAGTAGAAACTCTAAGTCCTTAATGAGGGTGCGTGAAACTGTGTCTACTGCTCAGTTATCTATTTCCAGTGAGAATTGGTCGGAGAACATCGTCCAACCTGTAGCTTGGAAGCATGTGCCTCATCATCCTGGGCCTAAGCTTCCGCTTTATCGGCCACCCTACCCGCAAGAGAACCATTTTTGTCCTTGTACCTCACTAAAACATTAAAAAAAATAGGAAAATATGTACTACCGGAATTTTCTAAATTTCCGGTATTTTACAAAAAAATTAAACTATCGAAAATTTCAAAATTTCTGGTAAATGCTGTTAAGCTCCAGAAATTTCAAAGTTTCTGGTACAAAAGATAAATGTATTATCCGGAAATTTCAAAATTTCCAGTTCAAATATATCAGATATTTTGGAATTTCCGATATAAAGTACCGAAAATATCACAAATACACCGTAAATTCCTTATTTGTTCAGCAAATTTCTGGTATCGCCTCTAAATTTCCAATATCACCCAGGGAATTTGAAATTTTCGGTGTGGTACCACAAATTTGGAATTTTTGAGAAATTTTTGGGTTTTGATAATTTTGTCTTTTCATACCCTTTGAGGGGGTGCCATGTATAACAGGGGTGTGAGATGTTAATTCCTTCACAAGTTAACTTAGGGAACAAACTAACTTAAACAATTGGGCTTTATAAGGCTCAGTTCGACATGCTAACAATCTTAGCATTTCGACTATTGCATACTTAAGTATACTTCGACTACAACATTGCAGGACTTCAACTATAGTATGTGAACAGACTTCAACGACATGCTAAGATCTTGTTGAATGGTCAAACAAAAAAGTTATCATTTGACCGTACTAGAGTTCAATCCAATATCTCACATTATATTTAGAAGAAATTATTAACATTAGTACTACTAGAATAATTAGAGAGTATTTTTTTTTTCCTTTTGAGCCTCAACCCTCTTGTATAAAATAATTCAGGAATATCAAAAAGTTTACCTTCAGAAATCCTTAAATTAAGAAAATTTCTATGTACACCTCTTATGGATGGGGAAAAACCCCTGAAAACCCAAAAATATCCTTCGGAGATGATCTCCGAGCGCACCCCAAATCAAGGTGTTTCAGAGATGCATTTCCGAAAACAATTTGTTTAGACTTGGACGTTATATTTAAACATGCAGTGATATTTTTGGAGATGTATCTCTAAAACATCCTGATTTGGTTCTTTCGGAGATGCATCTCCGAAATCCTGGACAATGATATTTTTTTTAAAAATCATCAATACGTTGATAAATAATTAGACGAAAATGATAATAAAAATGAAAAATGAAAATATAAAAAATGATAATAGACACAATAAATTATTTTAAATAAAAAAATAATACAATAATTGTTCATAAATTATTCTGAGATAAAAAAAGGCATAGCCTACTGCGTATGCCTGATCCTCACTCCATGGCCCCTCCTATGTCTACTGTATCCTATTGCACTCTCTGCCTCCTCAACCATCTGCTCTATAATGACCATTGTCTCAGAACTTTCCTGGTCAGTGATATCTATGTCAAAAGCCTCCCGCCCAATGATATGTATCTGCTGATAGATCGACAAGAGGTTAATGGAATGGTCATCCTCGACTTGCTGGTTCTCTAAGATATCCTCATGAGCTGGCCTAGGTGGATGTCCAGGAGCATCTGGTGTCATGATAGGATGTGGCATTGTGTAGAACCATGTCACATATCCCTTAACACAGTTCTGACTTCTGACTACTTGCATCATCTGACACTTCTCTGGCACCATATAATTCTCCCAATCTTGGAAGATGCCATCAAGCTCCTGACGAAAAATGGTGTCAGGAGTAGCCTAAAAGGGAGATTTGGATATGGTTTGCACATAGCCAAACTGCTGCATGCATCGCTCCGACAGATACATGACCATAATGTTAGTCTCACATGCCAACTATCCAGAGTACATTGAGATGGAGTCGAAATGGATAATCTTTCGGTAAATTTCGGCAACACAACCTGGTTCCCTCTGTGGGGGGCACACCAAGAAGCCCTTGACATGTCCTCACTATAATCCAAAGCATAATCAAAACCATGGATGCGGTAAAAGTGAGAAATGATTCAGCCCTGAAAAACGAATAAGATTCATGTAAGAATAAATTATAGTTATTAATAGTAAATTAAATTTAATAGTTGTAATGAAAATTACCGTCAACAGTGTAGCAGAGTCTGTCAACTGTCGTGTTCTCCAATTAGAGACTTCATTCAATTTTTGGTACAGGTATACCAAACAGTCAGCTCCCCAGTTCCACTCCCTCACTATATCCAAATCCATGAAGTATTAGAGGTATTCTACATCCACGTAGTTGACGCTTTTGTCCATGAAAATGGACGTGTAAACCAAGAACGTGAAGTAACACCTCTGAGCATACTGACGGTGATAAAGAACAAAGAAGTCGTCTCCCTCTGACTCAGAATCAGCTACCGCAGAGAGGTGCTGGTGATATAGCATATTAAGGAATGAGAACTTGACATGAGCCCCGTTGGTGGAGGAACACGACTTAAATGCCTCTCCTGGTTCAGATCCCAGATAGTCAACCATTTATTCAACCGCATCACTATGATCGATTCAGGAGTGGTTAAGTAACCTCCCTCTGATATGAAGGTATAGCAGGCAGGATATGTCATTAAGTGTGATCTTCATATCCCCAACAAACAAGTGGAAAGATGACGTCTCCTTGTGCCATCTCTCCACAAGTGTCCCGTGCATGTCGTGGCTGATGGTGTTGTAACCGGAACAACAAAGGCCGACAAGTCCGGAGGCAAAAATGGCCTCTTTGAACTAATCCTCATCAGGGTGATACGACTCAGATATCTTTCGCACGTGATTCACGCACTTTAGTGGACGTCGTTCCCGTAAAGATAAATAATTAATATCAATTTTAACATATTAGTGCATAAATCATTAAAATGAAAAGTGTAACAGAAATTAATATACTTGTCCCTCCGAAACATATTGATCGACATATGATCGATGTAATAGATCAAGAGGGAGGTGTCAGACGACCCTCTTGCAAAACCCGAGTTAGCCCCCTCCTCGGCTTCTGGAACATCAACCATTTTGGGTTCCGGAACCTGAACTCGCTCGGATTCCTCCTTCTCGTAATCCCTATATGAGGCCGCATGTGAAAGGCGAATCCTCAGAATAAAAGTTGATGCTCCCTCCATTTCCTGCCGTGGTACCCGACCGCGTCCTCAATGCCTCGTAGTCTACTCAAATCTCTCTCGTCAAGTGGATGCAGTTTGGCTAGGCCTACCAAGTCTCAATCTGTTGGAGTTCTCTGCCATTTTTCTGGAAAAACAAATAAGCGTTAATCAAATCAAAGGTAAGCAGACGAACAAGAACATGTTTGAAAATTAAATTAAAAAAAAAACAGGCATTTTTTCGAAGATGCATCTCCGAAACTCTTCAGAGGAGTTTTTGGAGATGTATCTTCGAAAAACCTACTACTTCCATAACCTAACAACACCATTTTTACACTAAAAATCCAATTTTTACACATGAAAGCAAGCTTTTTACAGGTTATACATAATTTAAACAACTTAAAATAGAAATGCAAAGATTAAAAGGGATTGGAGAACTTACTCAAATTTGAAGCTTTTATAATTGTTGAAATGTGTTTAAATTGAGAGTTGAAGTGAGTTATAACAAGTGCAAATGAGTAGACAAACTTGAATGAGTTTTGAAAGTAGAGATTTTGAAGGTTTTTGGAGTGTTTGATAGTTATAATTTGAAAGAAATGACAATGAGGGGTGACTATTCGTATTTATTATTGTAATGCCCTAATTTAGAGATGTATCCCCGAAACATTATTGATTTTGAAAAAAAAGTGTCTCGTAATATATCTCTAAAAATATCTCAAAAAAAATAAAATATGAGACATTAGAAGATACATCTCAAATTCTGAGGAGAGATAATTAAGAATGTGTAAAGGTGGAGAAAAAAATTCTATAAATTAATTAGGACAAAATGGTAGTTTCATAAATAAAATAAAATCTGCATTTAATTTCTACTTTATTTTACCAAATTGCAATAAAAATCAGTTGCAGTTTCGTGTTGTAACGGGACTCTCGTTAGATTTTCATAAGTCGAAAAAAGCAAATATTCTCCGTGTTCTCTGCAAAGTGGCGATTGTTTCCGTCGAATATTATATTTTGATTCTCTCACTATTATCTCTCCTTCCTCCGCTATCTCAATCACACTCCAACACATCACTGTTATCTCCCTCAGGCACGTTAACAATAATCATCTTCTTCACCGCATATCTTCATCATCTTCTTTCTCTCTTTTTTTTTTCAACTACTTTTACATAACTCAAAATTCACAATCTTAGTTCAGTTTCTGAGTATATTGTTCAACTTTAAGCAAGGAATTAACCTTATTGTAGTTTTGAATTTCGACGCTACTATTATCCCCTTGGAAATTTTATATTTGCAAATTGCAATTAAACCCTACTGTTATCCCCTAATATTAATGCTGTCTCTGATTCAGGTCTATTTCGATGTTGCGTGATCTTATACTTCAGTTCAATCCAACAATGGCGTATTCAGGATCAATTCGATTGTCTAGTATTGGAAGCTGTAGTTTTTGTCATGTATGTGGTGGTTGCTTATTACATTTGTTATATTTTTGTACTGATTTTGTTTAGAATGTTGATTTTCAATTTGTTTATATTGTTAGCAGAAACCGAATCCCGGTAATCGGTTATGTTTTGTTGCCTTCAATCGTTTGCGCCATGGTTCGGTGAGTATTAAAATTCCGTATTTCTCGTGGGATGGATATTTGTGTTAGTTTGTCAGTTTTATGGAATGGATTCTTCTGTTTCTTTTTAATTTATTTCTGAATTGTTGGAGAATTTTCTTGTTGAATTGACAGAGAACCGAGTCTTCGCCGCACATCTCTTCCCGATTATATAGTCAAATTAAGCCTACACCATCTAGTTGTAATGTTTTGTTGTGCCGATCTGCACTTGTACCGGCTGGAGGGTGTGAGGCTCCGCTGATAAAAGTGGCGACTGTTTCTTTCTCAAGGTCTTTTTCTATTTTATCTCCTTTTGTAGTTTATGGAAGTTTCAACTTTCATTGGCATGCATGTTGTTAGAATTAATGTGAATAGGGTTATCATGGACAGGACTCGTGTGATTATGGTAATTAGGGTAACTATAAATTTGTGTATTTCTGACTCGTTCTATGTATAAATGAACGCTAGTGTTTATATTTTATTTATTAATATTTCTGATAGTTTCCTTTTCCATATTGCAGTATAATTTATGTTTGATTGGTTATGCAACTTTTACTTCTGGCTAGATTTCCTCTGCATTGATAACTCTTGTCATGTAGCTAATGCCTACATATATAAACAACCATGCATATTCCTATTTTCTGCAAATTGTTTTACTTGCATGTTACTAGTTATAAATTTATAATGTTAGATGATGGTTATGATTGAAAAGCTTTCTTTGACATGTTAAGTACCAATTTTTTGTATACGTTGGGTGATAATTTTACTCCTCTCCCAAGCAACGTATGTGGTTAGCTATGTAGTGTCACACAAAAGCTGCAGGCCGCATGGCTATTTCCCCTCACCCTTTGTTTAGGGTATTTTGTTCATATTTTGGTGAGTTGGCGTGTGAATGCTCAAGTACTGAGTTCTGGTTTTCCTTTTGGAAGTGGTGGAGGAGTGAGTAGATATTGGAAATCGGCCGCATCCCACCGAAATTCTAAACTAAATCATGACTAGTAAAATCAATCCACTGCATGATATTGTTTTTTGAAATTGATGCAGGTCATATAATGCTATATCAGGAAGACCGATTGTGCTTCAATTGGTCCCTGTCCTCGGTATCATTGGCTTTGCGGTCTTTGGTCTTGAACCTCTCCTGCGCTTTTGCGGATCTCTATTTCTCCAAGAAGTTAGTATCTTATATTATTGCATAAGCAATTAAACAATATTATAAATTGACGTTGTGTTTGGTAACGTATGTTTTCAGTGGTCTGATAGAAGTTGGAAGAAAAGTAATTCATATTATATAATGACATCTTATTTCCAACCTTTGCTGGTGTGGACTTCCGTACTGCTCATCTGCAGGTATCTTTCTGGATCAGCAAGTCTATTTCCATTAGAAGTTTGTGAAGTCCTATTGGGATACAACCTGACATAAATGTTTCAGGAGTTTAGATCCACTAGTCCAGCAATCAAAAACCAGTCCAGTTATTAAGCAACGGCTGCTGAGTTTTGTCAAATCTTTTTCAACCGTGTTTACATTTGCTTACTGTTCTTCAAGGTAGATTTGATTTCATGCAGAATTATGTGCACACTCCACATATGGTGTGCCAACCTTATTTATAATATCATGCACTTGATTATAAGACAAACTTAGTTGCTCTTATTGTTAGAATTAGAACTAGATATAGAGCACACAAAAATATTTTTAAAAAAAGGAAGGAAAAAAAATGAAGTACTAGCATAATGAAGAGTCTTCTTATCTAAGATAGATCTATTATAATTATTCTCTTATATTTTTATATTTGATAGTTTACATTAATTTATTTTGCTCATATGCAAATTAAGTAATGAGTCCCATTTATTCCCATTGCTTTTTGTAAACACGGTCATAATTATTTCAGCTGCTTTTTAATCGTTATGTGTTTGGAGTCCTTTGTTTTGGTTAAATTATAATGTAATAATGTTCTTCCTATTTTCAGCTTTGTTCGACAAGCACAAAAGTTGTGTATGGAGACAAATGGCTCGAGTGTTGAAAGAAATGTATGCTCTTTTTACTTATCCTTGGCATGTTTCCGTTCTTTTGTGTAACATTTTGCTAAACCAATGGGTTAATTTTGTTGTGAGTCCACTTAAAGCTTTAGATAAGTGAGGATATTCCACGGTGTTAATTATGAAGGTATTCCTGAAATATAAACTCAAAGCTCATTCAATGTGAAATTGTATTATGTATGACAGATGAGCATTGATCTTATCGGGAAAGCTGTATATACCGCAATATGGGTTGCTGCCGTGTCATTGTTCATGGAGTTGCTGGGTCTCTCCACCCAGAAGTGGTTGACTGCTGGTGGTATGGGTACAGTGTTGCTTTCGATTGCGGGTCGTGAGGTACAATAAGGCTCTTTGATACTTTTGATGAGAACAATTAAGTCATCTTTCATTTACTACCTCCATTCAAATTATAAGTTGCTTTGCAAAAAAAAAGTTGTCATAAATTATAAGTCACATCACAAATGAGACATTAATCTTTCAATTTCTCTATGTGAAAAATAATTTTGTAAATTCTCTCATAATTTCTTTCCTATACAAACTTAATTTGGGACGGAGGGAGTAATTTTTTTATGGATAATCCTATTTCCCATCCCAGTCTTTCGCGACACTTCAGATTTACTTATTATGTTAGGTCTCTTTGTATTCAATTTCATTAAATTCCTCAAGAGAAACTCTTCAAGGCATAGTCTTACATTCTTGCTTTATTTTTCTTATGCATTCAGATATTCACGAACTTCCTTTCAAGTTTGATGATTCATGCAACTCGGCCGTTTGTTGTGAACGAGCGGATTAAAACAAAGATAAAAGGATATGAGGTTTCTGGTAGAGTTGAGGTTAGTATCGATATTCTAACTTACTGAAAAGGTCGTTTAAAAGAACTGAAAATGTGGTAGTCCAAATTCCAAAGTGAGTATTTTCCATTATAGATAATATTTATGGGGGGAAAATTGGAATTCAATATCTTTATTTTCTGTAGCATGTAGGCTGGTGGTCACCAACAGTTGTTAGAGGTGCTGATTGTGAAGCAGTTCACATTCCTAATCACAAGTTAAGTGTAAATGTTGTAAGGAATCTTAGTAAGAAAACTCACTGGCGCATCAAAACTCACCTTGCTATCAGTCACTTGGATGTTAACAATATTAACGTGAGTACTCCTGGTTTAGTCGCTTTAAAAAAAAAAAATTGCCAGTACTTTCTTATGGCTTTCTGCTCATCCAAAAACTGAGGCAATATCTCTCTTTATTTCTTCATGCAGAGCATCATAGCTGATATGCGCAAGGTTTTGGCCAAAAATCCTCTAGTTGAGCAAAGAAAATTGCACAGAAGGGTTTTTCTGGAGGATGTCAATCCAGAAAATCAAGCTCTCATGGTTGATACCTTTTTCTGTTGGTTTATATGATATTTTATGAGATAATTATTTCTAGTATCGTATTTTCTTCCCTTTATCTTCAGCCTTCATCAGAAAGACTTTTTATAAGGCTAACCTTGAGATGCATCTTATGGCATAGCCAGGGCAAAGTACCTTGTAGCTTTGAATTTAAAGCACTGCTTTCTTTTGCTCGCTTAAATTTCTAAATTTTACCTTCATAAATTTTTTTTACCAGGCCATGCGAATGAAGAAATTCTTGGGCTTTTTCTTCTTTAATGCTTTTTTATTCTTTACCAGTAATAGTTATACCTTTTAGTATCATATAATCATCTATTTTTCGGACAGATAAGTAATTCTAATGTCAAATTGATTATGCATTAGAAAGATGTTTTGAAACTTCGTCAATATGATAGATTTGCTGTTATTTGCCACCATCAGTGATTCAGGTTGCTAGTAGCTCTGACTAAAGTCAAAGGCTTTCTTTTAAATATATGCTTCACAATCATAAATGTTCCAGAATGCTTACAAAAGCTCTTTATTTATCATCTGTTGCACGAAAATGGCTGTCAAATTTTTATTTTATACTATGCTAGGTTTCATGTGTCTTTTATGTCTTCTCCAGTAATATATCAATCCATGGTATCTGATTGGCTCTGTTCACCCATGGTGGGAGTGAAGCATTTATTTCATGAACATTTTGGAATATGTTCAAATATGATTTTTGTCTCTCTTATCTCCTCTACTGATCATTGATGTGAATTATTGCTTTCCTTTTCATTTCTCAGCTGCCATTATCTTATAAACGCCTTTTTTTTGTTACAGATATTAGTATCTTGCTTTGTTAAAACTTCACATTCTGAAGAGTACCTCCGTGTTAAGGTGAGATTAGATTGCTGATAGTAAATTGACAATCACAGCTTAAAGTGTAATACCATAATATAGTAATTGCTTCTATATGTTTTGCTAATGCAGTTCTTTCAATTCAATTGTAGTATCATAATTCTCGATTCCTCACCCATTTGTATGTTTGGAATCTGAATTTTAAGGTTCCTGTAACTATATTTACAAATTATTACCATCATTCACTCTGTAGCAAAATTTCAGAATGAATGTTATGCATGATGGCTTGTTTGCGACTGGTTCGTGTTGGTGGCTTTTGTACATTTTAGCCTCTTAGTCTTTACAAATGTTTGCAGAAAAATTGTGTGGCCTAAATTTGTTATATACTGTCTCATGTGAATCTTCAATGTTTGAACAATATCTTGACCTTACTTTCAATTTCATCATAAAATATGATTATGATTTAATTTATATTCTGTAAATTTATATTCAATTCATATTCTGAAAGAGAGAAAAAATCAATTCATTTTGTCTGAGTGCTTAATAATTATCATGTGATAAAACAGGAGGCCATTCTGTTGGATCTTCTAAGAGTCATCAGTCATCATGGAGCTCGGCTAGCCACACCCATCCGCACAATTCAGAAGATGTACAGTGATTCTGATTTAGAAATTGATCCATTTGACGCCGCCATTTTCACTCGTTCTAGAGCAAAGGGAAACCACTCTGTCCCATTCATTGACGACAGTGAAAAAATTGCAGCAACATGGACTCCCTCTTCCAGTGTAAAGTCCCAGGATAAGTTTAAGTCACCGTCTCAAGCCAAGCCGCAGAATGTCGGTTCTGATAATTCTGTCCCGAAGGCCGCTAAATCGAGAACAGCACCCCAAATTTTATCATCACCCAATGGAACTTCACCCTCTAAGAAAGATGAAGAAAAATGATCCAGCTATTTTTTTATAGCTGGACATTATATATTGTATATTTGTATTTTTCTTAACTGATTAACCATTAAGGGTAAATATTGTATCATAACCTTGTATTACACACAACCTTAACTTGCATTTTGTAAAAGGTTGATTTTA